GGGGGGGGACAGGTACTCTTTAAGGTAATACTGGGGGTCCAAAAGATACCTAGTATCACCTTTCCACTTTAAATAAGCTATTGAGATTGCACATCAATAGCTTATTGCTGGGCTTAAGAATAATAATAATAATGAGTGTCTGCAGGCAACAGTGAAGTATGGTGGAGATTCCTTGCAAGTCTGGGATTGCATTTCTGCCAATGGAGTTGGAGATTTGATTAGGGACAATGGTGTCCTCAATGATGAGAAATACAAGCAGATAATTATCCCTCATGCCATACCATCAGGGAGGCGTGTGATTGGCCCCAAATTTATTCTGCAGCAGGACAACAACCCCAAACATACAGCCAATGTCATTAAGAACTATCTTCAGCGCAAAGAAGAACAAGGAGTCCTGGAAGTGATGGTTTGGCCCCCACAGAGCCCTGATCTCAACATCATCGAGTCTTTCTGGTATTACATGAAGTGACAGAAGGATTTGAGGCAGCCTACATCCACAGAAGGGCTGTGTTTAGTTCCCCAAGATGTTTGGAACAACCTACCTGGCGAGTTCCTTCAAAAACTGTGTGCAAGTGTACCTAGAAGAATTGATGCTGTTTTGAAGGCAAAGGGTGGCGACACCAAATATTAATTCGATTTGGATTTCTCTTCTGTTCACTTTCCGTTTTATTAATTGATAAAAATAAACTATTTGACACTTATATTTCTAAAAGCATTCTTACTTAACAGCATTTTTTACACCTGACTTAAAGTTTTGCACAATACTGTATGTCAAGGAAGTAGTAGGGTAAGGGAACCTTCCTATCAAAACCAAACCTCTTTTGCTTCCTCTTTCAAGAAGGGTTCCTTTCACCCCTCCCAAGCTTCGGGTTCCTTATCTAAGCTGGTCTCATTTTCATTGTAAATCCTGGTCCTTCAAGTCCGTAAAATAGTAAGAATTGTCCCGGGTACAAGTCTTCCGGATGTGAGATTGTAGTCCATCACGGGAGCGATAGCCTGGAGCGTTGACTACTTTACCATGGACAACAAACGTAGTCACCCTCCAGAAGGAAGGACAGTGTCAGCATGAATGCAGAGATGGTTTGAGGATCTACAGCTGAGTGATACACAAATAAAATACATTTTTGTAATACCGTATTTTTCGCTCCACAAGACACACTTTTTTTCCCCCCAAAAAGAGGGGGAAAATGTGCCTGCGTCTTATGGAGCGAATCCCGACGCCCGAGACATGCAGTTTCGGGCGCCGGGCGAGTAGTAGGGGCCACTGCTCGTTTAATACGAGTGATCTAATGAGATCACTCGTATTAAAGCCGAGCAGCGGCGATCGTATCCAGCAGTAGGAGCCACTGCTCGTTTAATACGAGTGATCTAATAAGATCACTCGTATTAAAACCGAGCAGCGGCGACGATGGAGATCACCATAGAGCAGACGAAGAACGGACTTTCTTCGTCTGCTCTGTGTGATCACTGAGACCGTGGCGCTGTAATCACAGCGCCACCTGTCTCAGCGGTCACTAACTGCAGCTTCTGTCATAGCTTCTGTCATAGAAGCTGTGTCAGAAGCTACAGTCTGTCGAGTGCTCCATAAGGCGCGCCGGACCTCCCTGCGTCCTATGGTCCGGTGCGTCTTATGGACCGCAAAATACGGTAAATAAGGTACTTAAAAGCATTTTTAAGATTAAGCTCCTGAGCTTTGTGTCACTTTAATGACTCTGGGATTAGTTCAGCTTGAATTATGCCTTAACTCCTCTGAAGCTTTTGCCTTCCCTTCTTCACAGGATCAAGACGGAGGGCAAAACTCTGGACATTTTAGGATCATTCAGACCTCCTGTCCCAGGGACCAGTATTCAACCCTGCTTCTTAGTCGATAGCTTTATTAGCCAGGGTATTCTCTAAGCTTCTGAAAGCTAGGAGGTCAACCTGCCATAAGGTCTACCATCACACCAAGAAGGCTTTGCAAAGCAAGGAAATTCCATCCCATAAAGTACTCCAGTGGGACACATTTTAACTTTCTCCCAGTCTGGCCTAGACCTCTGTTTAGTCTTGATTACTATCAAAGGCCAAATTTCTGTCCAATCACCTAAAGGTAGCTGCATAACCCATCCATTCAAAGTTTAAATCGCTGTGTCCTCTTCCTGAACTTCAAGAAACCGATTTTACAGGCAAAACAAAAATCCTGTTTTTGTGCTGCAATTACTCTTTTGGCCTTCTGTTTTGTTATTCTTTTGCCTAATTGTTATTAAATACAATTGTTTTACAGTCCCAGGCTTTCGGTTATAGTGGTAAAGAAGAGACTTAATACCAGGTTCTTTGCTAGTTTGGGTGGCAGACTTCAAAATCCACCTCCTGGGACAATAGTTGATGTAGAAGTCACCAGACCTGAATGGTAAGCCACTGTGTATGTGTAATAACTGGGCAACGACACATAACTTTGCTTTCAGTTTTTAAATTACATTTGAGAACATTCATGTTGCAGACTTTAATAAATCTGACACAGGGGGGACAGATGGAGAAATGGAAATATGAAAGATGAAGTCACACCTTGTATTATTTTTCACAGCTGAGTCACCTAACTTACACAGCTAGGTTGCATTTTATCCCAAGTTTCTGTACGATGTAGAAGACTTTGATAGCTCATTTGCCTTTATTCTTACAAAGGAAACATACGTTTGACAGCTCTTATCTCACTGCCTCTGCTCTTCCAGTGGTCACAGGAATGCAAGGGGAGGGGGCACGCTCTCACAGGAGTCAGCACAGGCATTAGAACTGGAAGGGGAAACTTATTTTATGTACAGAAAGTGCAGAGACAGTAAAATAAGAGCTGTGAATCAAAAGTATGTCTTCTTTGCAGAGTGTGGTTGGGAATGAAGAGGAGTGAACTGTGAAAGTGTGTAACTTTTTTCTACGGCACTCAGAAGCATCAGACAGCTTTTTTTTTTTCTGCTCGCACACACTGGCAGGAAAAACCCGCCCGTTCTTTACAGCCGTTACCGGCTGTTTGATATACATACGATCAGCGGCTCTATAGCCTGCCGATCATATGTATGTGCTGTCTGGCTGCATTCTCTATAAGATGGGAGGGAGTGCTGACCTCCCTCCGAGGTCTGAATGCAGAAGTGATGTGTATTATATCACTTCCGCATTCACCTGTCAGTCATCTGGCTGCTATAGCCAGAGAGAAGAAGCTGATGAAGCAGCTCTCTGCTTCTTGTGGGGTCCCCCAATGTCTCTATAAAGAGGACCTGTCGGTGTGCCTTTGCTATTATATAGGGGGATTGCTATCCCCCTATGTGATAGCAATAACAATAAATGTAAAAAAAATAAGTCACGTAAAAAAAAGAACCCCCAACATTTTTAAGTCCCCCACCCCCACGTTTACACGCATAAACGTAAATACGCGTTTGATGCGCCAGCATGCGAAAATGACAATTGCGCTACACATGTTACATATTGCCGCAAACGTCGGAGTGAGAGCGTCATTTCAGGGCCATCAATCACTGATAACACTAAACTGATGAGCGGTAAAAGCTTTTAATTTGTCGCCTATGGGCAATTTTGGGTATTGTAGTTTTTTGAGGTTTTGCGCGCACAATTTTAAGGCTTGACATGTTTGGTATCTATTTGCCCGACGTGACCCCGACTCTTATATTTTTGTAAAAAATTGGGTAATAAATGTTTTATCATTTAATATAGGGGAAAATGTTTTTTTTTTTTTTTTTAATTTCGGTAATTTTTACCATAATATAGTAAAAAATAAAACCCCCCAGTGGTGATCAAATACCACCAAAAGAAAGCTCTATGTCTCCCTAAAAAATTGTATAAAATTCATTTTAGTACAGCGTTGCATGACGGAATAAATGTCAGTCAAAGTACCGCAGCGCTGAATACTGAAAAATGGCCTGGCCAGGAAGGGGGTTTAACACCACGGACTTCAAGTGGCTAACTCACCCCAGGATATGTGATACATTTTCTCTGAAGCTGGAAAATAACTGAATTTATTGGCCCTATTTTGCTTCTCACTCATATTTAGACCAGTAATCCCAAAGCAGAAAAAATAGTTTTAACAGGTTGTTGTAGAATATTGTGTTTTAGTACAACATTATACTTGTGTTTTTCCTGTAGGTACGACTTCTTCATAGTCAGTCAGTCTGTGAGACAAGGTACAGTGTCTCCAACACACTACAACGTTGTATATGACACTGGGGCTTTGAAGCCTGACTACATGCAGAGATTGACATATAAAATGTGCCACCTGTACTATAACTGGCCAGTGAGTACCTGTTGTGCGTACATTCATTTGCATGGGTTTTTTTTTTGGGGGGGGGGGGGGGTGTTATTTATTTTGTTTGCATTTACATTGCACATTTTCTTTCCTTTCAATCCAGGGAGTTATCAGAGTGCCAGCTCCTTGTCAGTATGCTCATAAACTGGCCTTCCTGGTGGGACAGAGTCTACACAGAGAACCACATCTGTCCCTTGCTGACAAACTTTACTACTTGTAGAACAAATCTGGCTTTTCTTATGTTCAATCCTTTATGCCAATAGCTGTCCTCTTGCTCAGAAAATTTAAAGAGTTACAATTATAAAATGTTACTTGTGCCATATGCTGCTGTCTATTCAATACTAAGCTTCAACCACTTAATTCAGACATGTTTGCCATTTTATGTTTCTGATTGTTATAAATAATGACACACCCATTCTATATTGCCAAGGAAAATAAGTTGGACTTTCCTAATGGCTAGTATGAGTAAACCTGAAAAAAATGAATACTTGCCCTTTTCAGATATGTGCACTTCCATGAGCAACAATATATGGACCCTGATTATGGCTTTGGTTTATTTACAGCCTTAAAGTGAAAAAAAATGGCACTTTTGATATTTTTCTATCTTAATTACAATACAAACATTCAATATTTTGTCATTTCAATATTTGTTTAATTGGCAGATTGTTTGCAACTTAATTTGAAGATAAAGACCCCGGTTTATAAATGAACTGGAGCGTGTTCACTTTACAAATAATACACAATCATGTGTTTAGGGAACAAAATGTGTGCATTGAAGTCCACACAACTTCACCTCATTTACGGAGCTAAGTAAAAATTCACTTTAAAAAAAGAGAAGATTCACTCAGCTTAGTGAATGAGGTAAAGCTGTGCTGACAATCATGTGAGTAAAAATCAATTTTTTTTGTTTTTACACGTTCCTTTCACATAATTGGGTATTCTTTGCAAAGTGAGTTTTTACTTTGTTCCACCTCATTTACTAAGATAAGTGAAAATGCACTTGAAAGGTGAATATACTCAACTCCTTTAGTAAATCAGCTCTAAGATTTGAATGAGTAGAAATGAAGATGTGCATTCATGTTTTTTCATTCTTGCAGTTTGTTTTGTTACATTGCACTTGCAATAAGTGCTGATTAAAAAGTGTAGTTTCACAATGTGGTGATTAGATTTTGTAGTTAACAGTTACAGATTTTAGAAATATAGAATTGTGTGTTCATTTATCATATGTGTTATATTTTCAATTGCTTGTATTTAGCTGGAAACATAAAAAAGCAATGCAATGTACACATAAAGTTTACACATTTACCAAGTACAGGCAAGATCTGATGGCTCTTTCTTGTGAAAATGAATAATATACTCAAATTAATTTGTCTACATTGTGTCCCTATGTGGTGAGTTTTGTTACAATTAGGGATGCGCTGGTATCGGTGCCGATAATGGGCATTTTTAGATGTACTCGTGATAATGCCCTGATACCAGCACTTTAAATTTTTAAATATCTTCGGCTGCCACAATGTCCTGCACTTGCTAGGTACCTCGCAGCACCTGTTTCCAGTGCCAGTCCGGCCCCAAATCTCTTCCTCCTTCCCACCACCCTCACAACCATGGTTAGACTCTGCCGCTGCACAGCCATAGTGAGACCTGCACACAGCCCTGGGGAGAACCCACACATGCTTCTGAGCCCCCGTATAGCCCTGGTGAGACCCCACACAGCCATGGGTAGCAACACATTGTATGTAGCCTTATATTCTGCATTGCTGTATAATGTATTGCTAGGATTTGTAGTCCTCTATAGCTGAAGGTATTCTGCATTGCTGTAGAATATATTGCTGAGATTGCAAACCTACACACAGACACCATATATCCATTCCTGAGACAAGGCAGTCTGCTGCAAAACAGAAGTTCTGCCCAGCATGAGAAGAGATACGGATTTAAAAGGAAGAGCAGCAAAGAGAAGGGAAACAACCATGGATTACAGTAAGGCACACATTACAGTATTGTTTATGTTAAAAAATCTGAGGGTTTAATGTCACTTTAAGTTGGTGTATCCACCGCTCTTTCAAAGCAAGTGGAAAGGTCTTTGTTCTTACAAGTTTAAATGGTCTGTTAAAGCGACACTAAACCCAAAAACTAAATAAAAATAACTTCTATTATATACATAATAAATTAATGTGTACCTTTTTTGTCATTATTCAGCTCTAAAGGCTCCAAAATCCATTTTATTTTTCTCCATTCACAACTTCCTGCCAGAGGCTGGCTACTTTTCTTCTCCATGGTCCGTATGGGAGCTGAAAAGTAGCCACTCTCTGTGCTCGTTCAAGTGAAGGACTACAACATGCTGAGAGCGTGTCTTCTCAGTCTCTGCCCACAAATCCTCCCCTCTAGTTTTAATCATTCAGAGCATTGCAGATCAGATTACAAGCAATTAAACTGTCGCAGTGTATAGTGAGGAGGCAGCTGTGTGCAGTGAGAGATGATTCCTCCCTGCCTCATTGGAGTTGTAGGCAAAGATTTGCACATCACCAGAAGCAATGCGCACGGCACTTATTAAGTGACAGGAAGTGTGCCTGGAGAGAAGAGCAATGGGAGCGAGCACAACAGACTTTCTAAACATTAAAATAGTAAGACTTTATTTTAAAACAAATAACTGGCTTTGGAGAATGTCCATTGTGTAGATGTGTAACAGGAAAAAAAAGCTCAGGGTTTTATGTTGCTTTAAGGTGTTTTCTCACCATCCATTGTTGATGAACTTATCTATAAGGATTGGAAGCATCTACACCAGTGGTCTCAAAGTACCGGCCCGTGAGTCGGTACTATGTGGCCAGCTGACAAGTCAGGCACACGGTCAAGGACCGTGTCGGATGCAGAGCTGCTCCTGTCAGCTCCAGCCGGAGCTCTGTCAATTCTGAGCTCCGGCCGAATCATGGATGATTAGTAAGGTCTGCACTAGACATTAAAGTGTATTATGTGTGTGTGGGGGGGATTGGAAGGGGGGTGTATTATTATGTTTGAGGGGGGGAGATTGGAATGGGGTGGAGTCCCCTATATTTCAGGTGCGATTAGGGATTCCAGTGTCACAAACTTGCGTTTTCTTGCACAGGAATAATTAATCTGGCGTTTACATGCAGCAACCTTCACCCATTCAAGTTAATGATCATGTGACAGCCGCTGCATGTACACGCCTGCATACCGCATGTAATCATATGTGATACGATTACATGCAGTTACAAAAACAATCACTCTCCCTGGATAAACAATCATGTATCCAGGGAGAGTGATTGATTCCTAACTGCATGTAATCCTTTCACATATGATTACATGCGGTGTGCAGGCGTTTACATGCAGCAGCTGTCACCCGATCATTAATTTGAATCGGTGACTGTTGCCACTTGTAACATGTGCATACATTCAAACTGGTACCATATATAGTAGCGGCCCCCATGGGACTGAAAAATTTGTATAGTGGCCCCCGACTAAATTGAGTTTGAGACCCCTGATCTACACAGGCCCTTACTCCACACAAAGTATTTTTCTGTCATTTTCCCCTTGCAGTGAAAAATAGTGGACTGGACTACTACTATTCCGATGAGTTCTTTTATAAAGACCCCATGGACAAAGAGTCCCTCTTCCGTTCAATGTATGCACCATCAGGGTCCTTATTGCAACTATATAACAAAATAGTGCAGCACTCCATTTACAAAGTGAATGAAGCTCTAAAAACAGTGTATCCCCCAATCCAACAACGTAAAAAAAAAAAATCAGAACTAATCTAAGTGATTGGAAACAGTATAAGTATATAAAGTCCCACTTCGTTTATAAACCAGTCCACACAGTTCAGAACATTTTTCTCTCAGTGAGTGGCGTACATATAACATGAAGTGATTACCACCACAAGTGCTGGAACTCTGATCACTTTCCCGACAATAAACAGCACACCATATACTTTAGCAAGCATTTCCTCTGCTTGTGCAACACTTTGCTTCCAGGATCAGTGTTGAAAGGCTTTACTGATCACAGCATCTGAAAGAAAAACTTTCCAAATCCAGATAGCTGCACTGTCCACAAGTAAGTGTTTCTTCTGCCTGTACAACACTCTAAAATTCCCTTACAAAGTAAATACCCTAATTGCCTTTAGTAAATCAACCCCATTGCTTTGCGTTCTTTTTGTCCATGTCCTATGCATCCTAAGGAGATTGTACTCCATTGTTTAGATGTGGCAAATGCTGTCAAAGTCTATTTGAATGCCACAGCTCCATTCAGAAAGTCGGATTGCAGGAGATCCTCAGAAAGAAGCACTAGCTTCCAGTTTCACTTATCCCAGGTGGATTTGCAATACAGGTATTCCTCACTTAACGACCGAGTTCCGTTCCTACGACCAGGTCGTTAAACGGATTGGTCGTTAAGTGAGGAACTCTATACAGTACTGTACTGCATTAGTACAGTACTGTATAGCGTTGCAGATGTACAGTACCAAACAGTGTACTGTACATCAGGCAATGAAAATACTCACCGGGACCCGCAGTGAAGATCGGAGGACGTCACTTCCCCTGGTGACACGTCGCACTGACGCTGACGTGCGAGGTCGGAGGTTGCTCGGAGGTCGGTCGTAAGTGCGAGTGGTCGCAAAACAGGTAAGTCGTTAAGCGAGGAGCATCTGTACTGTTGTTCAGGCATATCTGGTAAAAGAGAAAGGTCCCCTTATTTCCTCCACCAAAGTAGTGGGCGAATCTCGAGTCTTTCACCACCAGGCTTGTGTGTCTTAGGTTTGTAATACTGCAAAAGGCCTTTGGCAGCACACATTCTGGTCAAAAAGTGTTGCAGGTAGCTTTTTGAGCTCTATTTTTGTTTGGTTGGGCTCTCCTTACTAAACTCTTTATTGGGGTTACATACCACTCTGTTTTCTGAACTGCTTGTGGATGTCCAACGGTTCATGAATATGAAACACTGTCCCTCAGTGGACATTAAAATAAATTATTGATTTTCTTGATCGTACAGGACTCAGGAATATTCAGAGACGACTGGATGATATGCAGGTATGATCAGGTGACTGGGCACTGGCCAGAGCCGTGAGGATCCTCATATAAGTCCTTCCACTCCAGAAAATCCTGTTTTTGACTAGTGTCCTTAGGTGACGGATGTCTCCTCAGGGTAACATGGTAGTTTAGTTACCATTATTCCTATGCTTGGCATGTTTCTTCTTTCAAGATTGTTTGCTTGCAGCTTCTAGATCAGGACCCCCCCAGCTTCTGGTCCAGGACTCAGACCCCGCTGAACTGAAGACCCCACCTTGGCACATAGTGCAGCATTTTGGGTTAGCCACAGGGTGCTATACAGCTCCAGGGCAGTGGTTTCACTATTTCACACGGTGTACCTAAGAATATTTTTTTTAAATAAGTTTTTTACACTTTAGATATTGCTTTGGTGAAGGCCTTTGTGCACATTCCAAGCTACTCTGAGCTGATTTTGAAAATAGAGTCTCAAACTGAGGGAGACACTGGGATTCCTCTCAATCTTTAACTCTTTCTTAGGGCAGACAGTGTTCAAATCTAGTTTGTACTGTGCTGGCAGATTTCATTATCAGTTGTAGACAGGGTTATTTAGAGTAAGCATAACTTTCACAGCCCCTTCTTAACATTACATAGGGGGAAGCTAGGCAGAATTTGTAAGCAAGTATAAAGCACCTTAAAATGTAAGCAGCAAATCTTAAATATTATTTATGATAGTTATGCAATGTCAAATCAAAGCTGTGACAACAGCCCTGTATAATCCTTTCCACTCCCTCTTCCAGCAAGTTTCCTGGATGCTGCTTACAGCCGTTGCGGCAGCTATCCAGATTCGTTTTCTCCTCATCAGAGCTTTGGAGGATTGTACCTGGATCCAGTTTGAAGGAACATATAAGGAGGCCTGTAATATGTTTAGGATACTGTCGGGCACAATCCTTAGCCCTTTGTGCCATTGCTGCAAGGTGCTTTACAGGTCCAGGACAGTTATACATTGCAGTGCAGCCCTGTTCCTAAAGAGCCTACTTAGGGGTATGCTTACAGGGAGGGCATACTGGATGGAGGATGTCCCATTTAAGTGATGGCATTGATGAGTCAGCCAATGCTTTTAGGGTGATAAGTCTGGGCATGTTCCTGTCTAGGTGCCTAGTTTTGCACTGAGCTAGCTACACAGACATCTTCAGCTGCAGCTATGCATTGTTCTGAAGGAGTCCAGATCTCTGCTGCTATGGGTTTCTGCTGCTTACAGAGGCCCTTTCCTTAATCTTCACAAAGCTAAACAAGTTTTGGCTATAGAAGCACTTTAAACCAGATCTATATCATGTGAACTAAGCACTGGAACACATAAATTATTCTAAATGACAAAAAAAAAACTACCTAGCAGATAATTCATATGGTAATTTTTCCACGGAAAGACATCTCCACTACTTTTTCCCATGTGTTTGTGTCGAGACTTTATCTATAAATCTGCCCGGAGTATTAAAAAGTAGTCATCTACCCATCTTGCATTGAGACTATCAACATGTTATAGTAAGCTCAGAGTATCTGTCAGGGTTTACCGTTCTCCTCTGAGAATCCCAGCCAGGATTTCCAGAAGATCCGCTACTAATGGATCGCACAGAGTCCAGGCCAGTATGGCTAGTAATAGTAAAAGATTCCAGACCAGGACTTCCAGACTTCCAGTGTACCCTGAGGCTGGGCGTGTCGTCTCTTACTGTCAGAATGTTTATACTGCTCTGATATACAGTTCTTTTTATGGAAACCATAAAAAATCTATAATTAAGGAGATTCCCAACGTATTTCCATAAATCAAAATTTACGCGAGTTCTTTCATTTGCGCTGACTTCGAAGACAAGAGGAATACCAAAGTATACAAAATATAGATAATTATTTATCAACATCAGTGCAAAAATAATAATAAAATATAATTGGTGACAAACAAAGAATATGGATCAGATAATATCAATCAATTTGATAACACAGGTAATTCATAAAATAACATAACCACAGGATATTGTTCAAAATATAAATGTAACCAAGATAACACGACTTTTTAAATGTAATGTGTATCTTCTCAGTATCACACAGAACAAGAAAACGAAAGTCTCAGAATTGACATGTGACTTCTCTCAGCACAGATATTCACAAACTCTAACTTTCACAGCGCATGGGCGATATTTATCCCATCATGCACAGGGCTGGCAATAAGCCCAGACCAGTCAAAGTAGAGAAAAATTACCACCAGTTTAATTCAATATATATCAGACTAAACCATTGACTAGAAACTAAAATCAGTTTCCTGGAGATTATACAAATGTATAAAACAAACGTATATCATTATCTCCCCAGATTGAAAGACACAATTTTTACTGCAGTTAAAAATTATCTCAGATCAATCTAGATCCTACAAGAACTCAATGGTTTACCCGAATATATATATGTAGCTGATGAATTGCCTAATATACAGATATAAAGTATACTTTACCAGCAATTTAAACTTAGTTGTTTTGGAAGAAGTCAGCAACCAGGGATAGTCAGGATCTCTTTAGTTTAGTTTCTAGGACAGCCGTCCTCAGCTTCTGACCTATCCCCTTGGAATGAATTTGCTTACTGCCTTGTCTTGTTCAACTCTCTCTGATGATGGCATTCGAATCTCTTGGGCTCCTGGTCCCCTCTCTATATCCCCCCCTGCGGTGTGGGCTTGGTTTGATCTATCACGTGATTACTGACGTGAAACCTGATAATATAGTTTGGATATATAAAAGTACATGTATAACATTTTTACTTAAAATCAGTCAATTAAGTAGGCAGATAGATGCTACATATAATATAATAACATTGTTGTTAATATTTATTACTGCAATGAATAGTAAGGTTTCATAAGGAACTTTTAAATAAGCCCCTTTCTTCAATTCATTGAACAAAGAGAAAAAAAACTCTTTAGAAGACTCCAATTTCTTGTAGGGAGGCAAGAAAGTAATCAATCAAGCCCTACACAGGCTGGCACTATCTTTAACTAATATGCGTCTGAGACCCCCACCATTTACGATCTGAAGAATGTTTATATTAACATTCCTAATTTCTCTGTGAAGGTCTCTGTACAAGAAAAGAATGAACTTATTTTCACCTTATAGCACATAGACAAAATGGCTACTAGTATGCCCATAGACACATCTGTAAAATGACATGTTTAGGCCTATGAAATCGATTCCTTTCGGCCCAATAGTTCTGACATTACTCAGAAGGGTATTTAAGCCAGCTCTGCAAGGAGCTGGTGCTGTGTCGTTTTGCCAGCTTCCTGTTTGTCTAAAGAGCTCCTGCTGTTTTCTCGTTGCTGACATGGACCGCCTGACCCTTCTTTGCTTGCTGCCTGCCCTGATATTCTGCCTGGACCCGACTTTGCTCTTGTCTCCTGCGTTTATCCTCTGATTACTCCTTGCTGACCTGGGACTGTCTGACCACCCTCTGCTAGCCACCTGCCTTGAACCCTGCCTGGATCTGACTATTGTCTCCTCATTGGAGCCCTCCTGTCTCGTCCATCCCTTGGCGGGGCAACCTTGGGGATTGCGACCTGCTACTAGCAAGCAGCCGAGCCCATCTTCACCATCAGGAGCTCTGGTGGACACCGGCTGGTATTTAGACTCTGCCCCTCAGGGAAGCGCATGTCAGCTGCCAGGAGGTGTCACCATAACACAACCACAGTGTAATCATTGGCATAGTAGTGGCAGCTTAAACTGGTGAGGGTGCAATTTGAGGATTTTTAGAGGTAAAATATGCCCTGGAATGCTGCCAAGATTTATAGTGTGCAAAGAGGAGTCTATACAGATACTAATGTTTTCTTGCATGGTTTGAATGATAAAGTTGAATAAAATAAAACAGAAGGTTTTGTGCAAAATATCAAATTTTATTTATATAAAATAATTTACACATCAAATGTACACATGCACACGCCCACACAACACTTTAATCACATTTAGGCCAATAATTTAATTTTTATAACTCTAGCACAATATATGTACACTTGAATACACTATGAGGGGAGCGTTTAATTGTAAACCTTCATCTTACAAAACAAGGCAGTCTGAAAATCATGTATAAAGAGTAAAAACAACTTACAAATGGATATATAAAATAGTCACAGGAATTTTTGCAGTGATGATACAGTTGAGGAGGCCAATCTGAAATTAGTAGAAGTGGTGGTATTATCACATTAGGTTGTATGGATTAATGGAAAGTAATTGACTTGGCTGTGAATAATACCAGTTCATGACTGCGGGTCATTCATAACAATGGACAAAGGGCTGACTGGACTATACATGAAAATCAGAGAATATATCATTCTGGATTTTCCATTTATGTAAAGGTTCAACTGGTCAGTCAGTGACCTCTTCAATCACAAATATTACAATTAGAATACGACTGGATGCACACAAAACCTACAAAGAATATAATCTGTACATATATTGAACATTACAAATCATTGTGCATCAAGTAAGGCAAAAACATCAAGGCTGCATATAAACTAGTAGCTTCAGTATTGGGCCAGCCATTGTTTTTGTACTTTTCCTTCAGGTTGTAATTCCTGTAAGGGACATTATCACACATAAAGCCATCTCCCAATTGTTATTTTAAGCTAGTTTGAGGATTTAAGGGTTCTCCTGTTGATTTATTTATTTATTAGTTGCCGTTTAAAACTGCCAGGCTATAGATTGCCTTACACTTTAGTTGGTGAACTGTTATGATTACTCAGATAACTCATTTGACTGCCCCAAGTTTTTTTAATAGTTTTTTCCCTTTGGAAAGTAGACCTTTTTTCTTCTTTGAAGATCGTTCTCTGCTTCTCATTGGGCTCCCAGTGCCCATAGAAGATGGTGGAGACACAGAATGAAGATGGACTGTTGGAGAAGGTGCTCTTCTGGGTGTACTTGTGTTCTCGGAAGGGACCTGTGAAGCAAATGAGCCACAAAGTAACTAAATGAAAAAGTGAGTTTAGCTGTGCATTCTTCTTGCAATATTTACTTGCAGAGGAACACTTCCAACAATTGCAAGAACTGAGTATGTTCTTTGGTGGGGAAGCCAAAGACCAGCTAGCAATTTCCCATGAGTTTGGAAAGCATGTGTGATTTAACAAGTCAATATAGTGCCGTGGTACAGATCCAGGTTTGAACCTGCATTTGCATTCTTTTTGGGAAAGGCTAAGAGTAGAAACTAAACTCAATGTTGCCATTAGTAGATTAGAAGGATAGTCACACAGCTAGACTAACTTGAGCCTTAATTAGAATCAGTAAGAATAAAGCACCTCTTTCACATGCATGTTTTCATACCAATCCTTAGTATTATAGCACATCAATATTAAAATCAAAAACCCCACTATGATGGCAAGGGTGTTTTTAAATGTTAAGTCTTGTAGGGAAAAAAAAACTTGCTGCATGTTGTATGTTGCTAAAGAGGACTCTACTCTTATTCTGATTCAAAATCAAGGTCAGCATCTAATACTCGGGAAAGAAAATCAATCAAACATCCCATTGGCACACATCTGAAGATACCATGGTTTGGTTGTATGTACGGCATTGAGTAGCAGAGCTGTATGTTTCAGACCTGCATATTATACTGTGTTCAAGGTGCACAGATAACCTGCCTATAGGCCTACGTCATTCTTGTTTCAATCTGAGAAGACGTTTTGAAAACTTTTTAGGAATGGATTCTGAAGAATCGCATTGAAACATACACCTTTAGATTTGCTTTAGATCACAGAAAATGACAATGATGTTTTCTCACATATGAGAGACTTGTAACATTCACAATTACATGAATAAAGTTTTTATGTACCTTGGAAGACTAAATTGGCACATTGTGATCACCTATGATACACACTTGGCTTTAAATTCTTCCATACACTCTTAACACATTTGGGTGGGAAGGGCAGTTAAAGGAATGTTGCTTATAGGGAAAGGTTAAAAAAAAAAAAAACAGCACATGCATATTTTCAAAATAGTTATCAATCAAAGGTCAGTAACCATTGCCTAGGTGGTGTCAGTTAAAGGTATAAAAACTTTGCGCCTATGTTACAAACTTCTCTCATACATTGTTTTGTGTGCTTTGCCTTATTTGAAGTTGTTCCTTCACTCGGTCTATAGCACAAACCAATGGTATCTTCAGTTGTTCACTTACGTGAAGGCTATACTGCCTCATTAAGGTGTGAAATGAACACTCTTCTTCTGTTCCAAAGTAGATGAGCAAGGACAAAACAGAAAATATAGCAGTGATGACACAAACAAAAAGTTAATGGAAAAATTATTATAAAAGTGAGTTTTAGTTCATTTAAAACAAGATGGCATTAAATGATGTAGCACAACTTTACCTCAATATCCAGGCATGACAAATAAGCAGTAATAGATATGTAATGCTAAGAACAACGGATATGTGTTTAACTTAAAAAAAACAAAAACAAATTGGTTGTATGATATGATCACTGTATAAGCTGTCACAGTCCAACAGTTAGTATCAGCATGGTAAAATACAGGAATGCAAATCTATCAGATACTTCTCACCTTTTATGTGACAGTCACAAAATACATATAAACAACTTACTGTATAGTCAAATATTTGCTTGATCGGGACACAGGATAGTAGTCTGGAACATTGGGTTATGCTACCAGCTTCAGGAGACTGGGCACTGGGAAACAAAGCTTCCGCTCCCAGCTTGCTGTAGTTTTTTACTAGTGTCCTAATAATGTGAAACTTATGAGCAGCAGTTCACGCTCGAGGATTAGTTCTTTTGTATATATAGTACATTCTCTTTTTTTATTTTGTATGTATAAAGATAATTTTTGATATAAGAAAAGGTTTTTTATACAAATAGAACTTATATATTTTCATACTGTAAGTAGGATATGTGCAGTGTATATATATATATATTGACATCCCTCTTTTTTACCCTCTATATGAGTGTATTCTGTGCCATTTTATACAAGGTAGGACAAGGATGTTTTGAGGACCAGGTTTCTACCAAGGTAGTTTCTTCCTTCCACCTTTACTATCTTTCTGTCCTGATTCTATACATCCTAAGTAGATTTCCCACCTTTGTCTGAATGTGGTATGCGCTGTTCGAGTTTCTCTCTCAGCTACAGCTCCCTTTTGACAGTCCGACCCTGTTTGTTGTCCCTGCAGGTCACCGTAGGGGACAGCTTGTTTCACTACCAATAGGTCGAGTCGACAACTCATCATGCAAGCTTATGAACTCAAGGGCAAGACTCTCCCTTTCCCAATCAAAGTGCACTCCAGTAGACCGGTTAGTGCTTCATGTGCTTTTCAGCATCAGGTTGCAAGGCTGCCACCTGGTCTTCTGTTTACAGGTTTACACAGTGTAAGTTCAGGCCTCAGCTGATGACAGATTCAGTTGTAAGGTTCTTCAGATGACTGTAGACTCCCTTGAACCCCTGCTGTTAACCTGTTGTTTTTCCATGGGACCTATTAGTCTTTGTGTGATGTGTACCCCTCAGTTAGACTGCTTTTGGAGATCACAATGATCCAGAATACTATCCTATGCACTGCAATGTACAATCAAGAAGACAGGATTTTTGTCTTACCTGTAAAATCCTTTTCTTGGAGTACATTACAGGACATAGAACCGAGGGGACATGGAGCCGGCTTCCTGGCCAATTAGGAAGCCTGGCGGCATGTAATGACTCCATGCTATCAGAAGTACCGGTATCGGTACTCGTTATCGGGTACCAAAATATAGATATCTGTACTCGATACCAAAAGAACTGTATCAGTGCAACCCTACCCAAAGAACCACTGTAGTTTAAGGTCAACCTGAAATACTACACTTCTTCTGCAGGTGAAGTATGTAAATGCAGCTAAAAAAACAGGACTGTTGGGGGGACAGGAGGCATCTTGCTCCATGGAAATTCTCTCCAAATGAGCTTTTGACTAAGTTAAATTCAGTCAATTTTTAAGGGAAGATTAAGAACCTTGTATTCAGTAACGCTTGTTTTTAATAAAACTAGCAGAGACATTGAAGGCAACAACTTACTCTTTTAACTTTTGTCCGAATTGGTGTATCTGGAGGGTATCGAGATGGTGCATCAGAAACGTAGACTTCAACATCATCAGGCACTTCTTCCAGAAAGTTAGAAGGGACAAGGCCTTTGTGTCCATTCAGTTCACCCTGTAAGTGAATTAAGCAGTGTTTTACTATGCATACAGTATGTGACTTACAAATTAGTGAGAACAAAAAACTATTTCTTGCTGCAATACCTTTAAAAACGAATTTATATATTTAATATAAATCGTAAAACTGGTAAAAATAGTAAACCTCACACAAGCTCACAGTTAGTATTTGGACTTAGTTATACCAGAAGCTCTGGTCTGTTTTGCTCAATGCAGTCAAATTGCAAAGGTAGGTATCGAAAGCTGACTAATTGATGGAAAACGTAGTTGTTGCTGCCCCAGTCACATCAGTCTCTGTAAAGAGGAGCTTACACTCTAATGTCCCCCCACAGTCATATCAGTCTCTGTACAGAGGATCTTACACTCTAATGCACCCCCACAGTCACATACTATTATTACCCATGTATATAGCTCTGACCTATACCGCAGTGCTGTACAGAAAACACTGAGCCAGTCACATCAGTCTCTGCACAGAGGAGCTTACACTCTAATGCACAATGGCACCAGCAGTGGGCTACAAGTCCCAGCAATACATTTATACAGCAATTCAGAACAGTATATGAATTTGACTCAGGGCTTAGCGCCCCGCTGGACTCGGGGCTTCGCGACCCGATGTACTCGGGGCTTAGCGGCCCGATGGACTCGGGGCTTCGCGACCCGATGTACTCGGGGCTTAGCGGCCCGATGGACTCGGGGCTTCGCGACCCGATGTACTCGGGGCTTAGCGGCCCGATGGACTCGGGGCTTCGCGACCCGATGTACTCGGGGCTTAGCGGCCCGATGGACTCGGGGCTTCGCGACCCGATGTACTCGGGGCTTAGCGGCCCGATGGACTCGGGGCTTCGCGACCCGATGTACTCGGGGCTTAGCGGCCCGATGGACTCGGGGCTTCGCGACCCGATGTACTCGGGGCTTAGCGGCCCGATGGACTCGGGGCTTCGCGACCCGATGTACTCGGGGCTTAGCGGCCCGATGGACTCGGGGCTTCGCGACCCGATGTACTCGGGGCTTAGCGGCCCGATGGACTCGGGGCTTCGCGACCCGATGTACTCGGGGCTTAGCGGCCCGATGGACTCGGGGCTTCGCGACCCGATGTACTCGGGGCTTAGCGGCCCGATGGACTCGGGGCTTCGCGACCCGATGTACTCGGGGCTTAGCGGCCCGATGGACTCGGGGCTTCGCGACCCGATGTACTCGGGGCTTAGCGGCCCGATGGACTCGGGGCTTCGCGACCCGATGTACTCGGGGCTTAGCGGCCCGATGGACTCGGGGCTTCGCGACCCGATGTACTCGGGGCTTAGCGGCCCGATGGACTCGGGGCTTCGCGACCCGATGTACTCGGGGCTTAGCGGCCCGATGGACTCGGGGCTTCGCGACCCGATGTACTCGGGGCTTAGCGGCCCGATGGACTCGGGGCTTCGCGACCCGATGTACTCGGGGCTTAGCGGCCCGATGGACTCGGGGCTTCGCGACCCGATGTACTCGGGGCTTAGCGGCCCGATGGACTCGGGGCTTCGCGACCCGATGTACTCGGGGCTTAGCGGCCCGATGGACTCGGGGCTTCGCGACCCGATGTACTCGGGGCTTAGCGGCCCGATGGACTCGGGGCTTCGCGACCCGATGTACTCGGGGCTTAGCGGCCCGATGGACTCGGGGCTTCGCGACCCGATGTACTCGGGGCTTAGCGGCCCGATGGACTCGGGGCTTCGCGACCCGATGTACTCGGGGCTTAGCGGCCCGATGGACTCGGGGCTTCGCGACCCGATGTACTCGGGGCTTAGCGGCCCGATGGACTCGGGGCTTCGCGACCCGATGTACTCGGGGCTTAGCGGCCCGATGGACTCGGGGCTTCGCGACCCGATGTACTCGGGGCTTAGCGGCCCGATGGACTCGGGGCTTCGCGACCCGATGTACTCGGGGCTTAGCGGCCCGATGGACTCGGGGCTTCGCGACCCGATGTACTCGGGGCTTAGCGGCCCGATGGACTCGGGGCTTCGCGACCCGATGTACTCGGGGCTTAGCGGCCCGATGGACTCGGGGCTTCGCGACCCGATGTACTCGGGGCTTAGCGGCCCGATGGACTCGGGGCTTCGCGACCCGATGTACTCGGGGCTTAGCGGCCCGATGGACTCGGGGCTTCGCGACCCGATGTACTCGGGGCTTAGCGGCCCGATGGACTCGGGGCTTCGCGACCCGATGTACTCGGGGCTTAGCGGCCCGATGGACTCGGGGCTTCGCGACCCGATGTACTCGGGGCTTAGCGGCCCGATGGACTCGGGGCTTCGCGACCCGATGTACTCGGGGCTTAGCGGCCCGATGGACTCGGGGCTTCGCGACCCGATGTACTCGGGGCTTAGCGGCCCGATGGACTCGGGGCTTCGCGACCCGATGTACTCGGGGCTTAGCGACCCGCTGGACGCAGGGCTTAATGACGCTTTCCATTTCACTATATGGCACACCACACTTCTTTTTTTTTTTGCTTCCACCGCTGCAAGCTTGACTGATGTGAGTGGCTCAGTGTTCTCTGTACATCACCGTGGTATATGTCAGAGCTATATAAGTGTATAATAATAGTGCGTGACTGTGGGGGAACATTAGAGTGTACGCTCCTCTGTACAGAGACTGATGTGACTGGCTCAGTGTTCTCAGTACAGCACTGTGGTATATGTCAAATTTATCTAAATGTATAATAATAGTGTGTGAATGGCTCAGTGTGTCGGCAGTGCATGGGGGGGCGGCCTAAAGCCAAGTAAGAGACCGCAACATTTCTGATGGCTGCCCTGGTCATGCAGAACAGTATATGAATTTGACTCAGGGCTTTGCGACCCGATGGACTCGGGGCTTAGCGGCCCGCTGGACTCTGGGCTTAGCGACACGCTGGACTCTGGGCTTAGCGACACGCTGGACTCTGGGCTTAGCGACACGCTGGACTCTGGGCTTAGCGACACGCTGGACTCTGGGCTTAGCGACACGCTGGACTCTGGGCTTAGCGAC